GCCAATTATGTTTTCAGCACTATGAATACCAAATAAAACTGAAAAGGGATGATACAAACGGTGACAAGCCACAAAAAAGTCCTAATTGTGATGATTCCACTCTGCAAGTATTGAATAGCGACAGACTTCAATATGACATCAAATGTTCCTACTGTACAGCCAGTGAATTTACAGATGAAGAATAAAAGCCAGAGAGTTCTTGCACCCCTCAACTATTCATAAAGAGCCATCCCATAGGTTTAAGATGAGGAAACATGGCCATATAATCAATACTCCAGCTACAACATGACAACTGAGTGAGAAATTCCACCGTACCTTGTCCTCATGGGCTAAAACTAACTCTGATACAGGCATTAGTCATAATACTCAGGTGAGCACACTTCTGTCTTCATGCAATGGACGGGCAAGCGCCCTGGTTCCTGAAAACAATTTTTGCCAAAATGGTAATTGCCAAAGGGTGAGAATAGACCAATGAAAAACTGCTTAAAAAGCCCAAACAACAACCAAATAGCTTACGGGAGAAATAAAAAGAGTGCGATGAAACAAAGAGAGCTCAAAGGAGCTCCTAAAGTAAAGATGACTTGATGAAAAAGGAAAATGTTCAGCCCTCCTGTTCACCAAAAGATCTGCCACCTTACTCCAGTTAAGAGGTATGCCTTAATCAGAACATTCGACGTACAAGGTCCATTGCATGCATGATAATCATCAAACACTACAAGAACAAGAAATGTACTAATAATCCACTACACGTACAATACACTGTGACAAAGATGTACATGTATATGCATGATATACCTTATGTTGTCACAAACATACTTTTAAGTCTCATTAATAACATTATGTACATGAAGAATTTTCAATGTACAAACAATGCTTTTTTGTTCATGAGAAGCATTTAGTGTATATGAATATAGGATATACCTAATATTGCTGTTAGTGTAATAATCTGTGTTAGAGGCCCGCACATAATTTTAAAACATTTTCCACTTATTTATGCAATCTTATATGCTTGAATATCTGGTTGCACTTAATGTACTATTAAACAATCCTTAGAGTTTGGCATGTTACTAACAATTGCTATACGTAATTTGTAATACCGAGAAATTGACACAGTAATGAGATATGACAGGGTATAAAGTAAACAGTTCCCATCACTAGGGACTTCAAGAGTACTATGAGGAACTCTCATTTGACAATGGTGTTGTTGGACTACCAGGTAAGATTTTAGCAGTTGTTTACAAACTTAAGGTTTGAAATCTCGCACCACCTACTTTAAAATTCTTCATTATCAGGGGAATAAACAATCTCATCGTCTCCTACTCACAGCAAAGCATAAATAATTAAAAAAAAACAAGACTGAGTAGGATTCCGAACGACCAACGAAAATACAAAATGAAAATCCTACTCTCATGATGCAAATTCTACTCTACATTGCAAGGTGATTCATAAGTTTTACATAAGAACATTAAAGTACAATGTAGAGTAGAATTTGCATCACGAGAGTTGGATTTTCATTTTGTATTTTCATTGGTCGTTCAAAATCCTACTATATCTTGTTTCTTTTTCAATTTTTATGTTCTTCTTTGTGTTGAATTTTTAATAATATTTATAATGTTTTTAGTTGCAATTGTGATATTTGTTAATTTTCACATACAATAATTTTCTTTATTATTATTATCATTGTTATGACTTTCCTGCATTTATGAGACAGCAGTTACAGCATTAAATTGATATGCTGAAGGAATATGTACTCTACTGATGACAAGTGAAATTAATACTGTAGTCTTGACATGAATCCTTGTTCAGGAAGCTCCATCTTCCATGCAATTCTGTAGCTATCTATTCCTGTTCTTTCAGTTGTCAAAGTCATAATCATTGCACTATTATAACATTAATTGTTTTTTAAAATAAAATAATTCATTACACACTTTATAAAAGAATAAGATGCAAGATTAGTACCTTCTCTGAGCTGGAAAACCTCCACTCAGTATTGCAATTGATTCCAAGCCTAGCTAGCCTAGCTATAGGTAAAAAAAGTGCTTGCTTTTCCCAGTTCTGAGATCTGAGCATGCGCAACCACGCCCAAATTTGAGCACATGCTTTTTTTAATTAACAAAATGGTGGCGTGAGGTAAGCTGGCCTGACACAGCAGTCATAACGTCACTTTTTCTTATCTTGGAGAATGATTTTAGGGGACATGGATCCGCGTATAAACTGTTGGAGTAGATTGGTGTAAGAATTTTACTTCTAGCACGAGTCAAGATTGAGATACAGCTCACCAACTGAATTGACAGGACTGACTTCTTGATGATGAAGATGAAAAAAGGTGGCTGAACAAAACGGCCTGTTTTCAGATTTTTTAACTTCCTCTTAGACAAGGTTTAGAGCCATGCTAATGGTACGTACAAATGGAGTCCTCTAGTCAAGATGAGGTCCTCTAAGAAGTCTGGTGAGCATAGGAGCTCGTTTTCCGGGTATAGCAAGGCTGCAAAAGTCATGGCAGCCATTTTGTTATCTGGGTTGTGAGGCTTTTCATAAGTAAAGATGACTTCTTTCTTTTTTAGATTAGTTGTCTTTAATTTAATGCTTTAGAGTTTTAAAGATACAATCAGACTACTCCTAATATAGTCATTTCTCCAACACACCTGGTTTTATCACCTATTGGTTCACATTTAATGTTTGGGAGGTTTAATAATACAATCAGACTATTACAACTATCATCATCTTTGACATTTAATTTGGTTTTTGCCTTTTAAAGTAAGTGAAATGTTCATTATCTGTCTTTGGGCGATGCAATGCTAAACTATTATTGTCAGTAGTATTCACTACATTAACTATTTTTTGGGGGCAAGGCTTATTTAAAGCATTATTATCACATTTTACTCTTACTAGTGCAATTAGACTTTTCTAAATTAGTACTTTTACATTTAATGCAACTGACAGTACTGTTACTAGTACCTTGTACATGACTTAGAAACACACTGACGTTTTTACTACAAAGTTCACCATCATCAATTACACCAGTCACTTAAATTTATCTCTTCTTTTCTTGATTAGAGGTGCAGTACATGTCATGAAAAAATTCACATTTTGTATGACCTATATGAATACAAAACAAATCGTTCTTTTTAATTTTACAATAATAAACAGTAAATTCATGCACTGTTAAAACAATTAAGAAATGTAGGCGTTCGGTTTTCTCACTCTTTATACGGAAATATGATGCTATATGGTATATTGTGTAACATAATACATAATAGCAAACATGCTTAATATTATTATTATGCATACACACACTCATTTATTACACACCCACACAATTAACATATTACACGTGGTCATTATTAGATTTATTGATTATTAATGTTTTTATTGTTTTTGATCTGAACTTTACATGGTGTCAAGAGTGGGATACGATGGAACAGTTCCAGCCCCCAGAACCACTTTTGCTACAAGGGAACCTTGCCGAGAACTGGCGAAGATGGTTTTAGTATTTACATCACAGCATCCGGGAAGAAGGACGAGAGCGAAGAAGTCAAGTCCGCCATTTTCCTCCACCTGGCTGGGCCAGAGGCTCTCGAAATATTTAACACATTTACGTTTGACAGTCCTAACGACGCTACAAAACTAAGTAAATTACTCGATAAATTTGAAGAGTACTGTATTCCCAGAAAAAATATCACTTGGGAAAGACATGTATTCAACACACGAAACCAGCAACCGGATGAAACTGTTGACCAGTATGTAACTGAGTTGAGAAGCAAGGCTAAGACATGTGAATTTGGAGCCCTCACTGAGAGCCTAATAAGAGACCGTCTTGTTGGTGGTATTATTAGCGATAAAACGAGGTCCTGCTTGCTAAAGAAAGCAGACCAAACACTCAAGGACGCCCTTGACATATGCCGTGCAGACGAAGCTGCATCTACACAGCTCAAGCAATAGTCCAGCAGTACTACCACGATGAATGAGCATGAGGTCAACTTTATGAAGAAGAAGCAACCAAGACAGCACTCAACTCGTGACTCATCTAAGCTTGTATAGTGCACTCGTTGCGGCACACAGCACCAATTACAACAAAAGTGCCCTGCTAGTGGTGTCAAATGCCATAAGTGTGGTTGCCTCAACCATTTTGCTAGAGTATGCCGAACCCGGGAAGCTAATCCACGAGTACAAAACCTTGACCAGGATGATGAATCAAGCGATGACGATTTCATTATCAGTGCTATTCGAGCGAAAAACAATGATGATTGGAATGTCATCATCTTGATAAATTCCCAAAACACCAGCTTCAAGATAGACACCGGTGCGCAATGTAATGTCATGTCTACCTCATCCTACAACTCATTGAGCCAACAACCTCCACTCTCATCTAAGTCCAGATTAATTGCCTTCGGAGGACACAAGCTTAAGTCTACTGGTAAAGCAATACTGCTATGTGAATACAAGAATAAATTCTGGCCAATTGAGTTCGAAATCCTTGATAATGTAACAAATATCCTTGGCCTGAATACCAGCATTGAAATGAAGCTCATCAAACGCAGCCAAACCTTGACAAATGACACTCTCAGCCAATATATTGATGTATTCCATGGCCTCGGTTGTATTACTAGCATTACACACCACATACACCTCAAACCAGATGCTAAACCAGTGATACACCCCCCACGACGAGTTCCAGTCATACTCTGATCAAAAGTACAAGACGAGTTGGAACGCATGGAGCGACTGGGTGTCATTGAACGAGCACATGAACCTACAGACTGGGTGAACTCCATGGTCACTGTTATCAAAAAGAACGGCCAACTTCGCATTTGCATCGATCCTCGTGACTTAAACAAAGCTATAAAACGGGAGTATTATCCCATGAGAACAATTGAAGAGATAGCTGCTAGGATGCCTAATGCCAAATACTTTTCAGTTCTGGACGCCAGCTCTGGATTCTGGCAAGTACAACTAGATCACGAGAGTTCAAAACTATGCACCTTCAATACGCCATTCGGTCGATACATGTTTAAACGGCTCCCGTTTGGCATCTCATCTGCACAGGATGTTTTTCAGTCCATTATGTCTGAAATTTTTGAAGACATTGAGGGGGTAGAAGTCGTTGTGGATGACATACTTGTTTGGGGAACGAAAGTAGAAGAGCACGACTCGAGACTCGAACAAGTGTTACAACGTGCTCAATCAAGAAATCTCAAGCTCAACAAGGATAAAAGCCAGATCAGGTTAAAAGAAATCAGCTATATTGGTCACACCCTCAGTGAACAGGGAATCAATCCTGACCCCCAAAAATACAAGCCATTACTAACATGGAGGCACCTACTAATAGAGAGGAACTCCAACGCATCCTAGGTATGGTAACATATTTATCTGAATTCATTCCCAATTACTCTAAAATTTCAGCCCCACTTAGGTTACTCCTCGAAAAAAACATCGAGTGGCACTGGACCTCTGAACACACAGGCTCTAACTAAATTAAAAAGCTTGATCACCAGTCACCCAACCTTAAAGTTCTTTGACCCATCAAAACCCATCAAGGTCTCTGTTGATGCCAGTTATAAGGGCATAGGTGCTGTCCTCCTCCAGGACAACCAACCAGTAGCATATGCATCAAAGTCACTGACTCCCACCCAGCAACACTATGCACAAACAGAGAAGGAGATGCTTGCCATTGTCTTTGGTTGCCAGAAGTTCCATGACTACTTGTACGGGCTATTGTGTGTGCACATCGAGACAGATCACAAACCTCTGGAAACCATCTTAAAGAAGCCACTACACACTGCACCAGCCCGATTACAACGTATGATTATGTCTATCCAAAGATATCCAATAAGTGTCTCGTACAGACCTGGCAAGGAATTACTCATTGCTGACACTCTCTCTCGTTCACCGTTACCCGATACTGCTGGTGAGTATGAATTTCATGAATATAATATTAACACCCTTCATACATTACCAATTACAGAAAGCAAGCTAGCTGAGTTCAAAGAGCAAACTAAAGCAGACCCCGCTTTACAAAACTTGATTAAAGTAGTCCAAACTGGATGGCCCAACAACAAATTCAACATTCCAATGGAGACACGACCATTTTGGAATTACCGTGACGAAATTACATATGATGATGGCATCCTTTTTAAAGGAAGCAAAGTCATAGTACCAAACTCAATGCATTTAAGCATGTTGAAACTGATACACGCAGCACACCTTGGAGCTGAGAAGTGCAAACGTAGGGCCAGAGATATTCTATTTTGGCCAGGAATGAATGCAAAAATTGATGATCTCGTCAACAGCTGCACTACATGCCTCACCAACAAGCACAGAAACACCAAAGAACCCCTGATACCACACTACATACCGTCAAGACCATGGGAGAAAGTCGGATCAGATCTGTTTGAATTTAGAGGACAGCACTACTTGATACTAGTGGATTACTACTCCAATTTCATTGAAGTTGACAGGCTTAGACAGACCACCAGTGAACAAGTCATTGAGATCTGCAAGTCTCAATTTGCAAGACATGGAATCCCAAATGAATTTATATCAGACAACGGTCCCCAGTTTTCTAGCCACAAATTCCACCAATTTTCAAGTCAATATCAATTTAAACACAAGACAAGCAGCCCCTATCACCCACAATCAAACGGCAAAGCTGAAAGGGCTGTCCAAACCATCAAAAGTCTCTTACAAAGGTCTATACTTGAGAAGTGTGATTTTCATCTTGCCCTACTAGAATTTCGCAACACACCATCAAATGACATATTGGGCTCTCCCTCTCAAAGATTAATGGGTAGACGTACTCGCACTCTACTACCCACTGCAGAAAATTTGCTTCTCTTCAAAATCATACCACCCTCTCAGGTTCAATCAGAGCTCAAAAAACATCAGAAAACCCAATCATACTATTACAACAAACAGGCAAAACCACTCAGCTCACTTCAAAAGGGTGATAAAATAATGTTTCAAAATGGCCGTACATGGTTACCAGCTACAATTGCAAAAGCAACTGAATACTTCCGCTCATACATCATCATTACACCTGAAGGACAACTATACCGTCGTAACAGGAAACACCTCAGACCTATCCCCAAAAAGGATGTACTGGAACCAGAGTCAGACTCAGATGACCTTGACGATTACCTAACCTCTCTAGAGGGAGAACCTCAAGAAACAACAATAAATGGTACATGTGAAGAGCAAGGTAGAGAACCATCACCCCCCCAATTACGAAGATCAAAACGGAAAACTGCACGCCCTTATAGTTATGCAGACCCATATACATTACGTTTCTGAAACTTCACCAGAAAAGGGAAGATGTAACATAATACATAATAACAAACATGCTTAATATTATTATTATGCATACACACACTCATTTATTACACACCCACACAATTAACATATTACACGTGGTGATTATTAGATTTATTGATTATTAATGTTTTTATTGTTTTTGATCTAAACTTTACATATTGCACGTCAGCCGATTGTGGTAAAGATAATTGGCGGTCACTGAGCTCTCTTTAGCTTACTCTTTAGTCATGTTACTTTGATCATTTCTGCAGAGAACTAAGGACAAACATAATATTTCTTTATAAGAGGTTAGTTATTAGTATGATCTTTTCACACAGAAAATATTGGTATACTTTTAGTTGGATGATACTCTATGCGAGATCAGTAGAAGCAATATCATTACTGATGATGCCAAAGCACCAATCATATTGGGACAATTCTATGAAGTGAAGCACAAAAAGAGTTATTGATGGAAAAGTTATTGCTATTGGTATGCCAGCTATTATTGTGTTTATTATGGCAATGCTGCATTTATACTTCAACTTTATGTATTATAGTTATAACACATACTGCCAGGAGATAAATAAAAACTCAGATAGGCGGAAGATGATTTTAATATTCAAATGGACAGTGTAGTTGCTGAAAAAAGCGGTGAGTTAATAAGTTACAATTTTTGCAAGGTGTCATTAATAATTAGCAAAACACTGTTTGTGTATGGGAGATGATGGATCACTAAAAACTGATCCTGAACTTGACAGTAATAGGAATAAATTTTAATTACATGTAACAATGGCAACTTCATTTATCATACGATTTACTCAAACGTATAGGAGTGGAAGAAGCACTCACCAGTGCAGCTATTATGATTATTAGCAGCAAGAAGGATGGTCCATTTTGAATTCTGTTGTTAAAATTTATTCAAACACTGTAGTTGTTGAAAAAGCGCTCTCAACAGGGCAAAATATAAAAAATTACTAGCAGAAAGGGTAAGTTTGAAATTTCATTGAGAAAACTTGGGTATTATTTAGTGTTGTTTTATTTACGAAATGAGACTTTTAGTTAGTAATTGTTAGTTATGAAACTTCAGATTTTGATGTTAGTTTTTGTTAGTTATGCTTCGATAAAAATACTTTTAGTTACATATAGTTATGTTAATTTTGAAATACTTTTAGTTAGTTATGGTTAGTGTTTTCAATTTCAAAATAGATTTAGTTAGTTATAATTAGTTGCATTTCTTGACAGTAGTAATACTTTTTGTAATTTCAAACTGAGTTTTAATTAGTTATGTAGTAGAGGAACACTATTAATTTAACTAATTTTATTGAAAATTTTTATATTAGTTATACAGTTAGTTCTTAGTAATATTTGTAATATAATGGAGAGATGGTCAAATTACGCATGTAAGTGTATGATTTATTTGCTTACAGCAATACTTCAAGTTCGAAATTTGCTCCTGACTGTTGACTTCTCCTTCCACTAGATAAATACCAAGCGTTTGAAAAACTCGCTCAAAAGGTGTTCAGGATGCAGGAATTACAAGAATGTCCTAAGCAAATGAAGCCAAAGTTGGATATATATTTTCATTTTGGATCCAAAATTGTAATGGATCAAGCTTGTTTTTTCTGGAAAGTGGTGTTTTGAGTGAAAATATTGATGTACATTATTGTCACTATTCTGTTCTTCAACATCATGTTGCTTCTCAGCTACAAGCTGACTTAGTAGCCAAAATCGCTGGCATGGAAGCTCAGGCTCTAATAAAATATCAATAAACTGAGAAGCATCACTGTCAGATAGTAACTACAAATGATTTGCCATGTAATTATCAATTTACTTTTAAAAGAGTCACTTACTCTTTCTTCTGTTTCTTGGAAACATTTCTTTTCTAGAAAATTAATAGCAAATTTTATTTGGTTATCGGACAATCCGATTCTGTACCATGGATGTAGTGAAGTAGCTACTACACATGTTTGTTTAAAATTTGGATAAAAGGGATCCAAAAAGCTACTAAATTGTCGTTCTATTTCCTCTTTCATGATCTTTCCTATAGCAACTGTACCCTGTTTCAATTGCAACTACATAAAGATTTTTGTGAAATACTTACAAAATAGTATTAAAGGTCACCTTATCCAAATGAAGCTTTAATTCCATTAATGCTGGAACAACACAGGAAATTGATGTGTACTCCTCACTTCCACATAGTGATGTATATTCAGCAAATGGTTTCAGCAGTGCCACTACATTTTCAATTGCCTTCCAATGATGATTCTGAATGCCATCCCACTCCAATTTACTTATTACAGTGTCAACGCTGGTTCATAGAGCAAGTAGCCGTTTCAAAAGAAGGTAAGTTGAACTCCATTGAGTTGGCCAATCTCCAATTAACCTCTTTCCAGAGAGTTTCATACGCATTTCTGTGGCTAACACAGTAACACAGACTTGTTAAACCGAGCTACTAATCATTTGCGAATTGAAATTGCTTCTTTACAGGGTTTGCATTCATCAGATTTGGTAACAATGAGTTAACCCTTTAACACTGATAGACGTACTTGTACGTCAATAACATGAGGGGGTGTAGTATAATTGTTATTTTCTTTTTTATTCATGGAAATATAACATTTAAAAGATTCTCCTTTCATCTCTCTAACATATATAACGTTGTCAAAGACTAAAAACACGATATATAGGTAGAAAAGTCCAGTAGCGCAACCCAAACTGTTCAAATGATCAGCAGCCGAGGTAAGTCACCTAAAAAATGACACAACAACAAAAGACAGAATGTTTAGACTTACCTTTGGCTTCTGAAATCCTCTAGAAGTGAGTAGAAAAGGCGAGCGACTCGAGAGAGCTGCTTTGCCTAACATTTTAATGGAGAAAAGCGGCAGGTGTGGCCACATTTTGCTTAGCAACCATGGCTCCTCGACGAGTCACAGTAGCATTTCTACTTGTAGCATCTTCTCCACTGACTTCTGCCTCTTCATTCCTTCATATCCTGCCTACTAGGTCCTGCTTAACATGATAGAACTCTCTCTTTCCCTTCGCCAACTCCGTGTAGTTGAGAAAAGCGGTGAGTATCTTTGCAATAGACAATGCATTGCTTTATGCTGCTTCATTAACTACTATACTTCTTCTATCTAAGGATGAACATCCCATAAAGGTTGCTAGCAAGTTTCAAGTCTCGCAGGACAAGATCTTGAGAGATATGCATCGCTAAACTAGTACCACCAGAAAATTATTTTTATTGCAAAATTAATTTCGTTGTTAAAGGGTTAAAAAGTGTGAGGAAAGCAGGAGAGACGTTGGTAGTCATCTCTGGAGAAAGAATTATTGTTTTCAGGCTAATTGATATTAAAATCAAATGCCTCGCTTTTGTGGTCAGAGTTGTTTTCTTCAACATCTGTGTGGACAACCTCAACATCATCTTGATCCAAATGATCTGCAGGAATTAACCTACATGTATATTCTGCCAGCGCTACTGTTGCTGTTATAGATTCACATGTGCTCAAGCTGTCTTCATCATTACCGTAGATTGGGAAATTTCTGTTGTTAAAAAATTTTCGTGGATGAAGTGACCCGCGAAAATTTGACACGAAATATTTTCTACAGTGAATAATAAGATTACCGGAATTACTCTAACGTGCAGCGGTGCAGGCTCTTCTTGTCTTCTAAAAGCCCAAAGAAGGCCTGAAGCTCTTACCCAAGAGGCTCCTTGTCAGTTTTAGTACTGTCACGAGCAACTTCCATTAAATAGCTGACTATCGTCATCAAGAGTTAGTAGCCACTTGTGCGGTTTATGACGCGTCCAAAAATTTTCATGTTGAAAAAATTTCGCGGATGGGTTAACAAGCGAAAATAAAATACATTGAAAATATGTCACGCCAATTATTTCTAACATGAAAATTTCCCGATCTACGGTATTGTCATCAGTTGCATCACAATTAGCTTTAAGCATTTTGCTTCCATTGTCTGTGATAGTTCCACGTAGCCAGCCCCTCCCCTGCAACGAGGAAGCGGCAAGGAGGGTCTGGTACTTTGACTTAGATGTATTTGTTCAAAAGGTGGCTGCTACAATAAAAAGCCAATTAATAATTAATTAATTTATAACATAAAATGGCCACGGAATATTAACTCATAGTCACAGCTATTTCTGAAGTTGCTGTTCAGTTTGGACTTGTTTTAAACGAAAAGCAGCTTGAAGCAATGACTGCATTTGTTAAGGGAAATGATGTTTTTATATCTCTTCCTACTGGATATGGGAAATACATAATTTATGTTCTATTACTTGAAGTATTTGATCAGATTAGAGGTATTATAATGATTTAATTTCTGAATGATAATAATTATACAAATTATTTACTGTTAAAGGGACAAAAGGATCCATCGCTGTGTTAGCCCCCTGACATCTTTAATGATTGATCAGCGTGCTAAGTTTTCTCCAAACGGCATTATGACAGAATTGGTTTGGGAAGATCAGCATGATGACAATGCCATGAAGAGAGTAACAAAGGGAGACATTCAGTTATTGTTTACTAGTCCAGAGAGTCTCATTACCAATCCAGTCTACCGTAACATGCTTCTTTCGCCAATATATAAAGAGAATTGTGGCTTTAGTTGTTGACGAGGCACATTGTATTAAAACTTGGTAAGTTACAAAATAATTATCGTAATAATGTATAGTAATAATATTTATAGGGGTGACGATTTTCGTATTCCTTAAACCCATCTTGGTGAAAAATGGTGTTTGCTACAGAATGGTGTACATGTCATGGCCCTTACAGCCACTGCTACAAGGAAAACGTATGATGTCATTTGTTTGCGCTTATCAATGATCAATCCTGTTGTTGTTTGCTGTTCTTCACATGGAGCTAATATTACTTATTGTGTACAACCTTAACCAGACATGGAGATTTTTGTAACAAAATGGCAAAAGAATTAAAGAAACTAGGCACTGCATATCCTAAGATTGTAATTTTTTGTCGGCAGTACAAGGACTGTGCAGCTCT